TGCCTTATATCGGGAATCAGGGCTCCTACCAGCTGAAGTTGAGCTTGACTACAAAGCTACATCGGCCACCATCCGTGTTCGTCGCCTAGACCCTTACCACCCCCTGCGCAGGAGGGCAGCAAAAATTGTACAGACTGGCTGGGCAACTAGCCGGTTTGCACGCCGAGTACTAGCCCTACCAGAACCAGAGCAGATAAACCCGCTGCAATATGCCCCCTGGCTTCCACAGGAGTCACGAAAAGATGCTCAACTCCGGGTTGGGGCACCTATGGGCCGCGCAAAGGAGCAGGCAGCAGCCGACTTTCTAGAGTTCTATCAGACTCTCCCCGGTATTGATATGAAAGTTTTCTCAGACGGATCAAAGCTGGCAAACGGAATGGCAGGCGCTGGCTTTGCCTTGTTTCAGGCCGGACATCAATTTCTCCGGTCAGCTATCCCTCTTGGCCCTAGTAAAGAGGTCTTTGACGCAGAAGCAGAAGCTGCTCTGGCTGGTATCAAAGCAGCCATGGAAAGCTGTACAGCTCGTTTTGCTACTAATCTGTGGGTCTGTCTGGATAATCTAGAAGTGGCTACACGCCTTCTCTCACCTCATACAGGCTCATCACAAGAAGTCTTCAACACCTTCCAAGCACTTGCCTCAACCTGGCCCCTCCGAGAAAGACTTCCTCACACCAACAAGGGCTCAGTCCGGATCCGCTGGGTTCCTGGACATGCGCATGTTCCAGAAAACGAGGTAGCTGACCACGCTGCCAAAGAAGGAGCTGCCTCTGCCCCCCCTCTCTCATATAAACACTCCTATGCCTCGTTAAGGAGGCAAGCCAAAGCGACTGCCACCTCCGCTGTACAAACACTCTGGTTATCCGCAGCTCCGCACAGGACATGGCGACTTTGCAGAGTATCATGAACGGTTTAACCATGAAGATGCACACCTCCTCTGCCGATGTGGCGCGAGGAAGTCACCAATCCATTTTTTCTTCTGTCGAATAGCGAAAAGACGAGTGTCCCGACCTCCAGGACCCCCCTCCGAGGTGATACCCTTCCTTCTAGGAACCAAAAAAGGTGCGGCCAGGCTTGCTACCTGGCTTTCAGAGACTCGGTTCTTTGAGGACATCTGCCCCCGCCATTCCCTATCTTAGCAGTAGCGAAGCCATCCCCTTTTTTCCTTTTTGTTCTTTCCCCTATGTCTGTTTCCTCAAAATTTTCAAAAAAAAAAAAAAAAAAAAAACACGGAGGTGGTAGGATGGGTCACGGTGCTAAGGCGGACCCTTGCAGCTGGCATCAACATTTAACCTGCTAGAGCAGGTTACCTCTCAGACCACGGCAGCTATGTGAACGCGCCAAAGAGTCTCTCTCTTGTTTTAAAAATCTGTATATAGAATTATAGATTTAGAAGCCCAGGGCTTACCCCCTGGCGGCCTTTGTCCCAATAGGGAAATGATGGGAAGCGTGCCTGTCACGACCCACGGCCGTTAAATACACACACACACACACACACATTGAGCGCTCACTCATAGAATATATTCCTGTGAACCCGTACCAGACCAGCAAACTAAGAGAACTCTTTGTACGCAAGATATTCCATGAGACTGAACGCGACTGACAAGACTGACAACTAAACTTCTCTCCTTAGACATGTGCGCCTGAAGGAAGACTCCATCAGACTCCCCAGATGGGTATCACCACCTCTCAACACCTATCGCACCCCATCGCACCTCGTCCCATCCCATAGCACCATTTAGCACCGAGCCTGGTACATTGTGAGCTTCTTTCACGTTCGATTCTGAGAAATTATGGATCCGCATCGACGTTCCCCAGGGCTATTTAAACCCCCGATATCTCCTCGAGGCCGGAGACTCTAGTGAAAGAATCCCGATTCATGTACAATGAAAGAGGAACAAAAGATCATCCGCAGGCGCCGCTCCAACAGCCGCAAAGCAATACGCCAGCAACAGGCTCGCCGAAGGGACAGTCTCCTCCGGAAGTCGTTCGAATATTGCCGGGAATGTGATGCCGACGTCTTCATGATGATACGACTCAAGCGCGACGGGCAGATTATGTTTTTCAACTCTAATACCCAATGGCCTCTAACCCGAGAGCAGCTTGTAGGCGTTTATCACCCGCTGATGGCTATATGCTGACCAATGCAGGCCTCGCACTACCCAAAGCCGAGAGAGATAACATGGCACGATATGGCTGCCAAATATGCCGGCGGAGAGCGAGTGTCCGTTGGCAAGTCAACCATATAAAGGCAATCAGGGAGACGATTTCCATGCATGGGGAGTGGGTATGAACATCACCGTCATACCGAGCAGGTTTAACGGCGGAGGCCGACTCGCTAGTTAATGGATCAGTCATGCCCCTACTACTTGATTCGCTTGCTTGTCTAGGAAGCCATACTTCGGGAATGCCTGGCAGGACGGAAGATCCCTCTTCCAGCATGATCTGAAGCAGCGGCCAAAACGGTCACAAGCGCATCTCTGCAAGTGTCGTGCATGCGGAGAGACTTATTTTCCTAGTCCTCCCTATTGTGCTGTAAAATGCAGAGAGAATCAACACACAGCTAGTTGCAATCTAATTCTCTGGTAACGAGAACAGCATGTTGGAGGTTTTGCGGAAGATCCTGGAGGGAGAAACCGTCAATCCTCGTAGATTCAGTTTCCTTAGTGATCTTGGATGTGTTGTTTTCACCCCAATAGCATGACAGGACAACATATTCCCCACGATGACCAGTGCAGTTGCGGGTATAGAATGAACAGTATAGTTCACTTGGCGTTGAACTGGGATATACATTAGCCAGTAGTTCAACTTGAAGGCCACCTACTCTGGACGACCCTTCTGTAAGAATCACCTGTCCATTTCGGTTCAACCACAAGTAAGCGACAGAATATGCAGCCGTGACGCGATGACGATAGAATATCATTTATTCTAGTTGTAATGGAAATGGTGTCGCCGGCAGCAAGACCTGGCCGGCGAGGTCTCGAGCGAGGTCCAATCGACTCCAGGGAGAGTCCGAGATTATTGCATCCAGAACACCGCCCTAAAAATTTTTATGTAGATTCAATCGTTACTCGCTAATAGAAAGGCCACGATCCGTCCATCATACTGCGGCAAGATGAGGAGGTGCTTTCCCATCGCCCCACGGCCTCGGGCGCTTCTGTGCACGCGACGCCACGGTTTTCGGTGCCTGACGCTAGTTCAGCTGCTGAGCATGTTCAACGTCGGCGGCCTAGATCCTCTTGCTGAGCCGGGGAGCCGTTTTTGGCCCCCCTGAGGACCATCATGTTCTCTCTATTTCTAAAATCCTATTTACGGTGTCGACCGTTCCTCGCTCTGCCACCATCATCCCTCCTGGCATCACTCTTCGCTCTCATCCATTCCCCTGCGCTTCCCGTCGTCGTAAGCGCCGATATCCTTCGTTTTATCCATTCGTTCGATCTTTCCTTTCCGATCTCCTGTTTCGACGATGGTACTTCACTCCGGATCTGTTGGACCTAACGAGAGCGAGGGTCAGATCGAGAGCCATTCTAGTTCCGCCGTCGGCGAAATATCCCCGGATAACAAGTCCGATAGTGACTCCAACAGCGAGGTGGAAATTCTCGGCCTCGGTTCCAGGACCTTCCGGATTACGCTGTTAGCAAGAAAAGAGAGAACGGGCTCCGGGACTAGCGGGTTCCGAGAGATAATTTATTAGAAGAGCACGCTGGACTTCTGAAAAGTGGCATTCTATGCTTGAACAAAAATATTAAGTCGCTCTCAACACTTGAACACCATGGCATCGAAGAACCCAACCAGCGGATTTAGACTGACGCATGTCGGCCTTCGTGTTACGGATATCGACAGATCCGTTGCGTTCTACACGGGTGCTTTTGGCATGAAGGAATTGGGCCGCATGGGATTGGACACGACCACGGTTGTTTTCCTCGGTTATCCTGATGCAGCGAACCCACAAACGCAACTCTTCGCTAGGGAAGGTGTACTAGAACTAGTATGCCCAAAGGTAACGATACTTCATCAAAGAGTCTCGTCCGCTTCCGGCAAGACTGTGGCTGACCTTGCCTTCAGAAGTCCCAGAAAGGCATGGCCGACTCAAGTGACTATCCGGATTTCCGATTCGTCAAGCTGGCAATCGGCGTCCCGGACATGGCAAAGGCCATGGAATATATCAGAAGTCACAATGTTAGAATACTCAAAGAAGCTGGCGTGGCTCAGGGTTCAGAGGTGGTGGCTACGTTTTTGGGTTGCGATACGCCCGACAAGGGATTTGACAGGCCTTTGTGGGAAGCCGCCGTGGCTGTCCCTTTTGTGGAAGACCCAGATGGATACCTCATTGAAATAATCCCATATTGAGCTATATTCTGGGTTATTCGCAGCAGTGTCGTATAACAGCGTTCTGCACCGAATATAGGAACTCGTTGTCTTACGAAATGAGTGTATACCTCGACGTGACGCGTGAACGTCATCACGTCTATGGCAATGGCGCTTGGATATTACTAGACTTTTCATATTCCACGGCGTATTGTTTTGTCCTCGCCAGTTACGTATCAATCCACAGTCTTTTCTAAGTCACAACTGCTCTGATACTATGCGATACTAATTCCTAAGCATGGCCTTGCCTAAAGGCGCATTTCACTGAGTCACTGCGGAACTCTGCTCTTCCTGCTCCATAGAACGAAAGACTTCAGCGACGCGATGGAAAGACTTTTTCGGTACCCATGGAGGCATATCCTTAGATCTTGAGTCCTTCTCAGGAAAGGTCTTTACCAGCGAGAAAGACATCATGTCCAGATCCCTCGCCCCTTTTGCTGCCGGCATGCAAGGGAACGAAAACAGGAATATGAAGGCCGCATCAACCCCTGCATTGTTGAGAAGCTCAAGCTGCGTCCCGACATAATCGGCCTGTTCCTTCTCGCTCCGAGTCGGGACAATATCGTTCTCGAAGATGCCAGTGCCGTCTGGATTCGTGCCTTTCAAGAGTACGAACCCGCCGTCTCCGCGCTCTGCTGCTCCCTCGTAGGCGCAGCAGCCGACTTCTAAAACAGCGAGAGGCTTTCCAATCCTGTACCGGTCGAGACACGAGACATACTTCTCCGCAGTCTCTCCTCGGCGATAATAGTCTATGCCGACGACGTCAAAAATATCCCAGTCCACGACTTCCCAGGAGCCAGCCGAATATGTGATCTGTCCTCCGAACTGGGAACGAATCACCTCAACGAAAGACCGCAACACCTTATTCAACTCGACAGACTTGTCACGCAGAGCCTGAGGAATATCCTCGATCATGTGGCCGCTGGGAAACTGCGGGCCGAGAAACATTACACGGTCGTTGAAAGAATCTCCGGGGAAAACACCTTTGCTGAAGATGGTGTATTCGCAGCCGGCGATAAAGACCAAATCAATGCCTTCATTGCGTAATCTTTCTGCAGTTTTTGCCGCCTCTTCGAAGTATGCGCGAGTCTCCTCGATGGTTGCATTCATCTTCCACGGATTGAAAAACACCTTTAGTCCCATCGAGTGCGCTGACCGTGCGGCAATCTCCAGCCGAGTTATCTCCTCTCCTTCAATCCGGACGGCATTGGCATGCAACTCGTCGGCGATTGTTTTCATGTCGTATTTGACTAGAGCAGGGTCGAATGGCTCGACGGAGAATCCAGTGCCATTAAAATTGAGGCCGACATCGTAGACAACGCCGCGATACTTCATGGTGGAGTATTTGTTGGGAAGGACTGATAAGCGCAAATGTCTGCGGGCTCACAGGATATGCAAGGATAACAATCGTGTCCAAACAAGCATGAGGCAAGAAACAAGAGGCACGTAATAGTCAAGTATATAAGGCCCCCGAGGGTGTCTCCACTGTTCGGACTGCGCACTCTTGGCGCCCCGATTGTCCGGCCATGGCTCGAAATTTCATCGAACCTGCAAATCTGTCCTTTCGGCAACCTCGTCGGGGAGGGCTTCCAAAAAGTCCGGACTTACACCTTTTGACAGTTCCACCATTCGGCCTGCAATTTGCCCTGCCCAAATCGCATTGAGAGCGTCTCTAGATACCGTTGTGATGATGTCATTCAGACCTGGAGGCACCGATTACGGACCCACTGGCCAAGCAGCAGGGGGAGAAGGCGGCCTGGATTCCCAGTGGAATGGGGTAGACGAGCATGAGGTTGTGGTGAAGGAGAGAGTGGCAGTATGCGAACATTTCCTTAGTCGCGTCACATGTGAATTAGATGCTGACATGCTCCACAGTGTGATCGTTGCCGTCAGCGGAAGGTGCGATCCTTCTATTTACCTGCAGCAAAGATTGTTCCCCTGTGAGGTGTATCCGAGGTCGGTCTACTGACTTTCGAGCTGGCTTAATAGACCAAGTGTAATCGCGTTAATCCGTGCTCACATTGTACCAAGGCGGAGGCGCAGTGTACATTCAGACTGGCTCACAAAGCCAAAGAAAAGCGGCAACGGGTCCTGATCTCGAGTGTATAGTGAGTTATCCCCCCAAGTACATCTATCTAATCATTAATAGACCATCAGTGAAAGGAGACTTGAGCATATTTCGAACAGAATTGAGGAGCTCTACGGAATCATAGGGCAACTTAGAGATGAGCGCCATAATGGTGATAGCAGCCTTATGGCCCCAACTAGATTACGAGCACCATCATATTCATCGCTCCAATCTGGCAGTCTTCGGGCATCCCCCAAAGCTCCAGCTCCAGCGGAAGGGATTGAGTCCGCATTGTTTGCCCATGTCATTTGCGCAGCAAGAGCTCTTGAAACCGCTGTGATGAATGACCCGTACTCCAGGGCCGTCGACGACATAACTTCGGCGTTGAATACTTTGCGGAGCACAGTCAATGACCAAAAGCAGCAAAATGAGACGCTGGAAGGGTCACGTTCATTTCTAAAGGCGCTGCCTTCTGGTCTTAGTCTCAGGGATTTGCCTATCCCTTCCAGTCTCAGGGATTTGCCTATCCCTTCCATGGATAAAATCATGGCATGCCTCAGGATCACTCAAGGTGCGTCTCTCTTTTCCAGGCTATGTTGCACTCGATCTGATAATCATCCTACAGAGAGCTCGCCGAGCGAGATTTACTGGCCGTTCGAATTTGGATTTCTGGGAGACTTCACTCAGTACGTGATCAGAGCCTGCACACCCGGTCCGATCAGCGATATGGAGCTGATCATAGTCCACTACGTTCTTTACTCGCTCTTCACCCAATGCTCGGTTGGTGCCGATGACGAGACACTCAGACAGGACTACGATGTGCAAGCTGCAACGTGCAGAGAGAGCCTCGAGACAATTCTATCGAGCCTTTCCTTTCACATCGATACCAATATTGACTCTATCTGTGCCTTGTACATGGCGGTGCGTTTTTCCCTCTTAGTAGAAATGCATTCCCCACAGTATTAATTTGCGATTTCCAACATACAGTCTCTTCATTGCCTGCACCGGGGAAAAGTGTCCACAGCCTGGACGTTTATTTCAAGAGCGTCACTTATGTGCCTGGCCTTGGGGTTGCATAGCAGTCACGCCATGGTAACGGAACAAGAAAACGCAGTGCAGCGAAAGATGTGTCTTTTCTGGGCTGTGTACGCCCTGGAGAAAGCTGTGGCTTTACGGCTCGGCAGGCCATCGACTATTAGAGACCAGGATATCACCATCCCACGACTCACTTTGGACCGCAAAATGACCTCCCTAGCATATAACCGGCTGCCTGACTGGATCGATGTCGCTAGCCTCTACGGCCGCTTGTACGATAGCCTGTATAGCCCGACTGCGTTGACACAACCGAGCTCCGTTCGCGTGTCTCGTACCAGTGCACTGGCTTCTGAGCTGGAGCGGATGATAGCCGCGAGAACCGGATACTATGTAAGTATCTAAACAGCTTTTTCTGTGCTCCCAACAGAAGCAAGCATACGGAATCAGTCCGTGGACACTCTGACTAACCACCCTTCTCAGAATCGGCCAGACCTGTGGAGTAGCCATGTGCTAGATCTAAATCTTTCACGGTTCATGATACACGCCAACAGAGCTATAGAATACTCAACCTTGGCGTCCATATATCGAGGAATCCCAACAGAGAGTCCTTCGGGTATAATACCATGTACGCAATGCATCACCGCTGCACGAGTAGCTCTTGAAGAGAGCGAAGCCAGCATTGCCATACTTTCAGATGCAGCAAAATGGCCGACTGGTCTTCACGAATGGATCAACGAGATTCTCCTCCTAGCGCCATTTATCCCTCTCACAATCCTGGTTTGCAATGTTGTTGATACTGCTGACGCGTCGGACCTGGGCCGCTTGAAGGGAGTGGTTGACGGTCTACAGTCTCTGGCACAATCGCCGCGCTATGCCAGCTGTAATAGGCAGCTGCGTATTTTCAAGCCACTATATGATGTTGCAGCTCGTTACGTCGAAGCAAAGACAAGCCGGGAATCAACAGACACGATTAGCAGTCTATTCACTAATCCCGACACCGATGTCTACTTCGATGATGACACTTGGTTAGGGAATGAATTCTCTCCTGTCTCGTCTTTACCATTATCAAATATGTTGTCACTCGATTTGCTCCAAGCTCCAGCAGTTACATCATATGATGAGACTCCGGAACATAGCCAACGTGACCTAATAAAGTAAGGTTCACTCTCTTTGATCTTGCAAAAGGGTTTATCCTCCATCGCCGACACGTAATATGTCAAGGGCACTCTGAGAACACAGTACGCTATACGGCGCATAAATGCACCGCGCTGTGCCCCTCCAAAGCAGCGCGTACAGGTCTTAACGCCGCTCTGCAGATCCTCGAGTACCAAGAGCTCGTGCAGTTTGAGGCTAAGGACGCACAAAGAATAACTGAGAAATTTTGGAAAGCTTTTTGGGAAGCTATAGGGCTACCGTTGTTATCGTTGTGAAGGTATCCGGGCTAGTGATTGGCTTGATATCCCTCTCAAGTCACAGTCTGGCGATGTAGGGGCCTTATTGCAGGATAATTAGGTGGTGGACGGCGAAGGGATTAATGATTCTAGCGATTGTATTGCGTGGTGATTCCACGCCACTTCTAAATGCTAAGCACAATGGGCGATAGTTTCGGGGTAGCCATAATATCCTCCTACCACCAAAAAAAAACCCACTGGTTGTCTAGGATAGGTACCTCAACATTGGCTTCAGACCAAGTCCAGTCCGAATGACCCTCCAGGGTCTGGCGCAGCTGGTCCAATTCATCGGATGATCATGACTGTGTTACCTGTTTTCCAGCCGGACACCCTGTCGGACAAGTGAAAGGGTGTAGCCAAGGATGTTCCTTTGATGTCCTAATCGTACACAGTTCAGTGATCCTACAGCTCCTGGCGCTAGAAGGGGGAGAGGTTATTCTTACCATCCACATCCCGTAAAGGGAGGAGGTTTGGTGCAGCAGAAGGATTTGTAGCCTGAAAAGCAATACTCTTCACCACCAGCACCCAACGAATCGTATGTCTCTTCGTAGCGGTCGGATTCGTCGCATCCGTAATGCTCGCCTACTCTCCCGTGCTTGCCACAGAAGGGCGCAGATCCCTCCCATTCTAGCGATGTATGTGAGCTCAGATGATTGAATGCATAGTGTTAAAGCTACCCGGGGAAGACTCACTGCACTGTCCTATACCGGCATCCGACTTGGTTGAAGTGCAGCACAGCACCTTATGGCCCGTCCAGCACTCGCTGCCTGTAGCACTGGTGTCCGACGAGACTTGCACCTCGCCTGAATGGCATTTTCCGTCACAGAAAGGCGCACCTCCACGCCATTGGCATGTTGGCACCTCCTGGCCTTTCGGGCAGCAATAGTTCCTGGTCTGGCCATCACTACAACCCGTGTAGATGCCTGCATTTCCGCGGTTTTTACCATCACTTCGCTGTGCTGGGAGAGAGTTATCCGGACAGTCCTTTCCACACTCACCCCAGATACAGGCCGAGAGGACATCCTCCTCCTTGGGATTCGCCCCGCCCCCGAAGAGGCTACGAGAGACCAGTCCGTTGGTCTTGATATATGCCTGGGCCGCAGACCCTACCGTGTCATCGGTAGATGCAGCCCAAACCATAGCACCGCCCAGGCATTTGCCATTGGCGTAGTCGGTCTTCAACCTGAGAGTCTCCTCGTCGTCAAATGACACCCATTGGTTATTATCCCAGACGACCTGTTTCACTGCTGCATCCTTGTCCATGGTCGCCTTCGCTCCAGCCGCCAGGATGTCTTGGATTTCTGAATACATGAGCGTCTAATCTCTCGTCAGTAGGTCTGAATGTTTCTGGCGCTCAGGTACTGGAAGGGGAGGGGACCAACCCCGGCACTGGCAGAGCATTTTCCTGGGTTCCCTCCTCCACTGAATCCACAGCCGGGCTTAGTGCAGGAGGGGTCAGAAAGCGTGAAACTTCGGCCGTAGAATCCCAGCCCCATTACAATTTTATCCGGATCAATCTGTCCTTCCGTCAGCTACTGCCGCGTCGAAGGTCAATTCACTTACCTTGTTTCTCCAGAACAGGTCCATGGTCAGATCGATCTCCGTGAGATTAGTATGGGCATTGACAATCGGCCCGATAAACTTGTCTGTGGAGTCCCATGTGCCGTGTAAATCGTATGTCATCACATTAAACCAATCCACCACCTTCTCAATTGCCACAATGTCGAAGTGCTGCATATACCTAGGTTGAAAAAAGGGTTAATGGCCACAGTTATCTTTCAGCTGTTCGTCTGCATTGACTGGGGCCATACCAATAGCTTGAAGGGACTGTGATCGTCAACCCGTAGTTGTGGCCACTGCCTCCCAAAGCCGAGCGAAGATTTTTTAAAAACGAGACATAATTTTGGAAGTCTTGTGGTTTCCCAGACCTTTCAGTTGCAACGGGGTACTCCCAATCGATGTCAACGCCGTCGAATCCCCATGTCTGAAGGAAGGAGATCAGCGAGCTGAAAAATGCCGATTGGGCACTGCTGGATCCCGCCAGGTCAGAGAAGGTTGTGGCCGTTGGCTGATCTGGGTCATTCATCGACCATCCGCCAATCGAGATCCACGTCTGTAGCCCGGGGTTTGAGTCTTTGAGGCCCGTGAAACGTGAATACAGCTCTGTGTCGGCCGCACTCATGGGGGCAACCTTGAATGACTTGGGATCAATAAAGGCAAAGGCAAAGTTGAGATGTGTGTAGGCGCCAACAGGGAGTTGTTCTGGCATCACTGTACTATCGTTTGGCCTGTAGCGCCCAGCAACGGTCTCCATCTGGAACGACTCACTTCCATAACATGCTCGGGTATTGGACCATCCTTCATAGTATCCTGGGTCAATTAGCAGGCCACGTCCTCGCAGGGTTGAGTGATCATCACCACACACCGATAGATCTTTTGTTGGAGCTACAATCGTCAGTGAGTCTACGGTTCAAATATCAACCCCAGAATGCCTTCCTACCTGCTTCCAGAACATGACGGCTTGGTGACTGTCTTGTTGCCACAGAAGTCTTTAGTGGTTCCGCAGAAACCAAACTTACTGCAGCACACGTTCAGGGGGCATTTCTCCTTCTGAGACCACTGGGCGCCCCATCCAGGATCACATTCACTTTGTTTGCGAAAGAAGTTATGCACTCAGCGCTTGTAATTCTGTCTGCGGGCTTGGGGTGTGTTATTCTTACCTTTTCTGATCGCACGAGGAGATGCAGCTCTTACCACAGAAGTCTGGACCCAGTCCACATACTCCCGTGTTGCTGCAGCATCCTATCTTGCAGGGCTTTGTAGCAGAGCTGAATGACCATCAGCTTCAATGTTTGTAATCAGTTGCGGTTTTCACTACCTACCATCTATAATCTGTGGCAGACGCCGGGTCCTGCGATGCCAGTCCCCAAACAACAGACGCGAAGGCTGCCAAAACTATGCTTATTCTCATCGTGAGAGAGAAAAAGAACAAAAAATCACCATTCGAGGTAGCGTTCGCTTGATCAGATGAAGCATTCTACCATTCGGACAGCCATCCATCTTATTATTTCCAGCCCGCCAAGAGCTTCCGGCTCCTCCGGCAAGGAATAATTGCTTCTAATTGTTCAATCGGTCCATCGGCATTGAAGACAAGAGTGACTCTGGATGTGATTGGATTCTCGGCTATTCCTTCACGGGCTGAGGAGGCAGATCGGAGGCCTAAGATGGACGTATACAATGTAACCCCACCCCATCCAAATATCATGCTGCGGTCCAGAAGGTGTGCGCCGGGAGCCCGCAGCCCTGGGCAGATACGCCAGCAACCCTGTATGGGGACCAGATCTGGGCGCAATACAACGTGTCCTGTTTCAAAGACTCCAAGGGAAATTATTGCCAAGGTATTTATAAATCTAGGGGCAACCAGGCCAGGAATTGAGATTACTGAATAATCTTTTAGATGTTCTCGCGAACCTCACGCTTCCGGCCGGTGACACCTCTATGGCCAGCCTCCCCAAGAGCGTGGTGTGTTCGGAATGCGTACTCCTTCTGGGTCGATTGATCCAATCCACTCCATTCAGCAATTACAGTCCACGAATGGCCAAGGAATGGGCTGCCATTCAAGCGACCTGCGGCGTATCCTATCCGACCGCAGTCCAGCCTGTGACCGGCAACCGGACAGACTTGCCTGGATACGCGCCCCCGGGCTATGCGACGGCCCAATGCTTGACCGGGAAGACATATACCGTGGTCTCGGGCGATGACTGTGGGAAAATTGCCTCAAAGCAGGGTGTCCCTCGGGGGTCACTGATGTCTATCAATAATATTCTCCCGGATTGTTCTAATCTCCAGGGTGAGGGGTCCGTAGAGCTATAGTAATGGACGAACATGAGCTAATGGCGTCCAGTTGGACAGAAACTTTGTATCCCAAACACCTGCCAGCTGTACACGATCAAGTCGGGGGATACTTGCATGCAGATTACCAATGCATCAAGTATCACATTGCCCCAGCTTCGCTCTTGGAACCCTTTCATTAACGCTGGTTGCAGCAACCTCATTGCAGGAGATCAGATCTGTGTTAGCCAGCCAGGCGCTGTCTGGACGGGCACAACCATCCCTCACGCCACAGTCACCAAGACTGGCGTTTATGCTACAGAAACTGTCGCTCCGCCAGGGCCCGTGGCCTTTGGCACAACTCCTCCCAGCAGTGAGCTGATCCCCCAGCTCCTCATCCACCGCGTCTGGTGCTGCAGCACCTGCGGGACTTACCTCAGCAGCAGCGCCCGGTGGGTCCGGGAGCACCACCACCAGCACCATCCCACGATCGGCCGGGACCCCCCGTAGCAGGTTGACGCCCAATGCTGGTTCGCAAACAGCCGCTACTATCAGTACTAGATTATGGGTGTCCCCAGCGCGCAGCCATAGGACCCACCGCCCATGCAGCCCACCTCCACCACCACCACCACCCTGTCCCTTCCCCGGATGACGCAGCCCACCCTGGCCCTGACCAAGC